CTTTTTGTAGTTTGGTTTCAACGTCTAAAGGGGTTTTGCCACTGGCCAAACCTGTACGGTTGGACACTCGAAAAACATGGGTGTCTACCGCGATGAGCGGTTCGCCAAACAAGGTGTTTAAAATCACATTAGCTGTTTTGCGCCCTACCCCAGGTAAACTTTCTAGCTCTTGGCGGGTTTTTGGGACTTCGCTATTAAAATCATTAACTAAACGGTGGCATGTTTTAATAATGTTGGCAGCTTTGGTTTTGTATAGACCAATGCTGGCGATATAGTCGCGCAAAGTTTCCTCGCCAAGTTCTAGGAAGCCTTGCGGCGTATTGGCAACACGGTATAGACGTTGTGTAGCGATATTGACCGATTTGTCCGTTGCTTGCGCTGATAAAATCACTGCGATGAGCAACTCAAAGGCACTCTGGTAGTTAAGTTCGGTCGTAGGGTTAGGATTAGCGGCCTGCAAAGCTTTAAAAAAGGCGATTCGTTGAGTTTTGTTAAGAGGTTTTGCCATGATTTCTTATTTTATCAACGTTTTAGCCATGACATTGTTAACATTCCCGCCAAGGTTAACACCAGTGAACCCAAAACATGCAAGGCGATTGTCACTAAGGCAGGGATAAACCGATTTTCCTGTAATTGGGTGACCACTTCGCCTGAAAAGCTCGAAAAAGTGGTGAGCCCACCTAAAAATCCTGTGATAATTAGCAAACGCCATGCGGGGTCAAGGTCATGATGCATTGCAAAAAAAACAAGAGCCATACCGACCAAATATGCTCCTAACCAGTTTGCCAGTAGTGTGCCCAGTGGCATGATTGGTAACGCAGGGTTAAAAACTAAACCAAGCAACCAGCGGCATATTGCGCCGATAGAGGCGCCAAGGCAAATCGCTAAGATGCTCGGGATGGGGCTGCTACTAGAGTTTAACAAGGACATTTTTTGATTCCTTTGCCACCAAATCTTTGATTCATAGCAAATTTGTAAAATTGGTCTTGGCACATCGGGATTTGCTCGGGATGTGATTGCGCCATATGTTGTCGATAAGCGGCATAGTCTGGAATGCCGATCATGCTATTGGCCATTTTTTTGAGGGGAGTCAAATATTTGAGGATCATGGCTTTCTCTACGAGTGTACGTGTTGTTGAAGTGGTTTATTGCCAGGACTGGTTAAATCGCCGCGCATAATTTTAAAAAGTTGTGCCAAAAAGGCGCATAGCATTAAAATAACCAAACAGGCAAAGATCACACACAAAACAGCATCAATTTGATTATTAAATATAATTTGCTTCATTTGCGCCATGCTTTTTGCAGGTGCAATCAACTCCCCTTCTCTGGCAGCCAATTGGTATTTTTGGCTGGCAGCTAAAAAGCCAACTTTGGGATTGGGGTCAAAGAGCTTTTGGTAGGCGGCAGTTAGGGTGGTTATGCACACCCATACCAGTGGCAAGAAAGTCACCCAGCCAAAACGAGGTGTGCGGCGCATAATGACGAGCGTTGCTAACATCAGGGCGATGGCAGCCAACATTTGGTTAGCCATACCAAATAAAGGCCATAAGGTATTGATGCCCCCCAACGGATCAACCACGCCTTGGTAT